CAATGTTTTGATAGTTTACATAATTAATCTTAGAGATGTATTGTTTGTGTTAATAAAAAATACCACAGTTGAAATGATGTAGCCACATTCGGTTTCAAATTCTTTCTAAAAGCAAAGAAGCGAAATGTCTTTCTTTGATTGTACACAAGATATCTCTCATCACGAACAACAGTATCAAAAACTGAAGTACTTGTATACGAAGAAAAAACCAGAAAAAAATAATCTTTAAATCTGATGAAAGCTTTATCAATTACACAGAAGCAGTATAAAAGTAGAAGAGATTTAGAAAACGAAAGATTTTATAGTTTAGGGAAAAAAAGATGGTTTCAACCTTCAAACTATTCGAGCCCAATTATGTGAGTATGGGGCCAGTATTGCTGAAACTGTTAAGTATTTATCATAATTTATTAGTTATTTTTTGTTACGAATCTTTACTGTCACTTTCCCGCCAGAATGCAAATTTAGCTCTCGTGTATTTAAGTGAGGGTTTGCGTCAGAGCGTGTTTTGCCTGCTCAAGGCCACGTTACTAGTTGTCAGTCTACGATGATCATTCCTGTTTAAGCCGTTGCTTTATTCTTGCAGATAGTGCTGTGACGCCTCGGTAGGGTAAGAGCCAAATTGAGGGTTTAAATATCTCTGCTTAGCCTTTGGCTAATTAGTTAAAAGTTAACTATAGTTTTAATTTAAAATCCTACTTTCGAGTTCACGCCATATATGCTGGCTTGTTTGTAAGCAGCAGAAGTACCTTCTGTTCAACTTCCTGAATTCTTAATAAAAGTGTCTTTTGCACCCTTAGTGCATTTTTGTTCGCTTATCTAGACATAGCGTTAAATCCCTTACGCCTACATTGGAGTCTTAACTTAGTGTAGATCGCCTCCCACCAGCGGCCAAGCGGTAAAGTCGCTGAACACTGGTAGTTCGGTCCAAGGTTCGAATCCCGCGAACGGGCTGGCTCCATGGGCGTTTTCGTGGTTTTCCCCATGTGTAACGTGTATACGAGCCAGTTTCCCTTAGAAAGTCCCTATCCCTTCCCTTGGGCAGATAGCCCTCATGTGCTTTTCCATAATTAAATAAACCAAACCAAACCAGTGTAGATCACCAAAATAAGAGAGACTTTACAAAGTGTATAAAATGGTGTTTGGTTGGATGTGTCTGAATATGACAATAGCTCTCTGCTTATGGAGAAGGCTACCTTCGTGGAACACTTTCTGTGGAAAATTGGCTTACATTCACGTTTTAATTGACGAAAGCCCCAAAGTACTATTATGCAGCCACCCATTTGTCTGGGTTCGAAACCGGGAAGAGCTGCCACTGCTGTCTTTATCCGCCCGGTTACTTGTGGGGCACAAACGTGTGGTAGCAGTTGTTTGATATAATCAAGTAATGGTCCACTGTATGTGATAAAATAATGATAATTCTGAATACATTACGTGCTCGTAGTTTAAATTCACTACTCCAAAATGCGACTTTTTATTCAACTTAATTATTCAAACTTCTCTCCTACTACTCAATATGCTTTTAACGCCTAAAAAGCATTCTCAAGTGTTTCAATGAGAACGACCAAATGGTTTGCTTCATTCAGGTTTTATTTTCTTTTTAATATTCCATTTGAATTAATTTTATTGAATTAATTGATTGAGTTTGAACTACTTTTCCCAGTTTTTGACATATTCCTTTTTTAAGTTTTATTTTAATTACTATTCTTTTTTTCATTTTAGTTTGTAAACCTGCCATTTTTATGTTTTTCTCAATTTGGAAACTATTTTGCATGATTAATTATTATTAAAAATACGACTTATACCACTTTGGTAAATTTCTTCTAAATAAATTCGTTTCCTCAAAAACGTTTGACTTGGAATATTTTGCTTCTGATTTACAAAGTTGCTTTGGATCTGCAAAGTTTTTTTAGCAATTTCGCTTTTTATTTGGCTTGAAATTTATTGAATATTTATTTAGTACGTTGCGTTTGAGTTACCCCATGCGTCTCTTGATTTCTTACTCAAGAATTCATTTTATAAATTTAATTTTTACTTTCAGGTTCCTTCGGAGCAGATTATATCTTAATGATATATTAAATAAAAAAAAAAAAAATGCCTAAAAGGCCAAGGAATTTTCAACAATATTTTTATTATATTAATTATATTGATTTCTTTATATTGTTTATTGAATAGTATTTTTTTTATATTTTTTTATTTCAATTTTGATATGTGTAATTCCGGTCAGACTATTAACCACTTCTTTTATATAATTTCTGACTTAAGTAGTATCTCTTGATTTATATATATATATGTATGTGTGTGTGTGTGTGTGTAAAATATAACAAAATATAATAGCTGCGCTAAGAAACTATTGGCGACCTCAGAATTAACTATTCTGAATTTGGTGTTCTCCCCCCTAAGTTCATCTGTTCACCCAAACTCGAAATATTTCCACATTACATAACAACCTAAATTTAACCGATCGCAGCTTAGTTATACTTATACACCTACTTAGTATAAATACTGCTTCACAAGCAACTACCTCATTCATTTCCTTAACTTCTGCCCTGCTAACATCTCCACGCCGCTTATGCTTTTCTAAGATGCTTACGTCGCATTTTAAAAACCAGTGTACACTGCGCCAAAAAAATTGGGACAGTTGTATATCTCCAGTTTTACCGGGCCGATTGCCGAAATTCAACTTGTGTTTTTCATCTCGAAAGCGCGACTTAGGATATGTACTAGATTTATATATAGCATTGTTGTGATATAGGTATTTTGACTCAAAATCGGGCTTTTTTGAAGTGGAATGCCAATTGTTTTTCCATATTTTGATTCTACGATGCAAATTGTGCCAAAGTGCTAAGTTTTGTAACTGTCGCAAGAGTAGTTTTTAAAAAATTGGTTCTAAAAAATTTAACTCCTCAATGTTAATTGAATTTGATATATATTTATTAATTTCGCTTTATTATTAAACTCATTTCATTCTTCCTTTCATATTTCCAAATTTAGGTTCATTCCAAATAAAATTCGCCACTTTGTAATGACTTTTTCTTAAATTTGCATTTAAAAATAATTTTTATAAATTTTTCGAAAACAATTTTGAATTATAATCTATACAATTTTTGACATCCTCTTATAGTAAATGTATTTCTAAGCATACCTGAACAAAATTACGTTATTTATTTAAAATTTCCTAAGATATGCGTGAATTTACATTTTGGCGCGTTTTGAAATTTGGCGTATTTACTGCAAGCGATAATAACGAAAGTGTGGTTTACGCACTCTTAAAATTATTTGAAAATTTGAACAATGACTTTTTCCCGCTCATGCACAAAAGAAAAAAGCAAAGGAAAATATGTTGCTATAAATTATGAAGTTCGCCAAGTGAAATATTCTTGGCGCAAACTGAAAAAAAAATGCGCCAGGATATATTTTTAAATTTCTCCAGAAATTTCCCAACAAAAATTACAAAATTTAAAGTCAGGCATAATTTGAATCGTAGAATGGAAATATAGAAAAAAATTTGGTATGTTATTTCAGAAAAAGTCCGATTTTGTGTCAAAATAAAGATGTTAGCAGGGTAGAAGTTAAGGAAAGGGATGGCATAGCTGCTTGTGAAGCAGTATTTATGCTAAGTAGGTGCATAAGTATAACTAAGCTGGGATTGATTAATTTTAGGTTGTTATGTAAAGTGGAAAGTTCTCGAATTTGAGAGAACAGATGAACTTAGAAGGGGAGAACGACAAATTTATAATAGTTAATTTTGAGGTCGCCAATCGTTTCTTAGGGCACTCATCGTAAACAACTACGTCATTCCTTTCCTTAACTTCTACCCTGCTAACATCTCCACGCTGCTTATGCTTCCCTGTCTAAGATGCTTACGTGGTACATTTAAAACCACTGTTTATGAAAATTATCGTATTTAACTATGATTGGATAAATGTCTACCAAAATAATTTGATATGTGTGAAGATAGCGGGTTATTCAATTATGACAAAGCACACGAGGGCTATCTGCCTAAAGGAAGGGATGCCTTCGTGGAGGACTTTCTAAGAGAAACTGGCTCGTATACACGTTACACATGGGGAAACCCACGAAAACGCCCATGCAGCCAGCCCGTTCGCGGGATTCGAACCTCGAACCGAGCTACCAGTGTTCAGCGTCTTTACCGCTCGGCCGCTGGTGGGCCTGTGTGAAGATAGAGATTGGTGATACGTCAAAATCCAATTTTTGTTAGTTTCGTGTGTCACCCTCATCCATGACGACTATCGAACGTTAAACGTACAGGTGTCTTCTACTCAGTTAAAATACTATATATATATCTATATATATATAGATATATATATAGATATAGATATATATGTATGTATGTACATACATATATATCTATATGTATGTACATACATACATATATATCTATATCTATATCTATATATATATCTATATATAAAAACGGGTATTCATGTTTCTTACACATTACATAGTGAAAGATATAGACGGATAGCGAAGTTTCTGAAGTTGTTGATTAAATCAAAATTTTTTATGACAGAATATGTTAAAAAATTATAAAAGAAAATATTGTTATTTGCTTACATGCAGACAATAACTCTTGTACATGTCCTCGAGTCTTAAACACACATATCTAAAACATATGGAAATTCAAAGGAAATAGCACTGTTTTCAGCTTTAAAAAGTTGGCTTTGTTTGATAAAAGGGTTTTCCTATAATTCGTACTTTAGAAGCAAAGGGACTTTGTTTGTGAGTCAAATGACCCCTGTGATTCCCCTATATTGACGCCCACTTAGACGTCTCACATCGATTCCATGACTTCACGACTAGTAGGTGACCCATTTTACGCACCGTGATTAAAGGCACACCACCTTTGACGTCAGGAAGCGGGTGTGCCAAAATGTGCGTACGCATTATCAAAATCTTTACCAGTCAACCCATTGATTGAGCTTCGTGACCAGTTCGTTGGATGGCGCCTTCGGCGGAGGAACAGCGAATCTTGTTGGTGCGCTCCACTTTCCAGAGAATTTTGCTATGCGCTGACGCTGGCGACAGTTTTGATCTGAATCTTGCCCACGTGGCTTGCGTTAGTCTTCTCATTCGGTTCGGTGAAGCCGGTCTGATTGATACGAAGTCCATTTGGTGAGTACTTACTTGGCCTGTTGAATAGTTTGCTCGACGTATGTTTATATCACGTGAGAGAGATTTGCATGATACATTTTGCAGTTATGGATTAATTTTGCGTAATATTATACTTATTTCTTTGAATTCTGCATCTAATAAATGAATCAGTTTTAAAATTATACCGGAGATTAAAATTTTTCATATTTTTAATTACGTTGTTTCTTGTGTGTAGAATAAACTTTAAAACAGTTTTCTTTTAAAATTACTGTTTTTGTACTGTAAATTCAGAGTAATTTCACAACTCGATTTTTTTTAATGAAGCCTTTATATGGGACTTTTAAAATTAAATTGCATGTAAGAATAAGGCATCTTAAAACAGCTGAGAGAGATATAGGCGAACTATTCCGCAATTCAACAGTTTGTATTTTTCAAAATTTTCTGTAATTTTTGCGCATCTGCATTTTTATCCTATTTGTGCTTGTTGCAAATTTGACGATAAAAAGAGTTCTTTCCTAATATGTTACAATTTTATTTAATGATAGATATTGTTATATGGATCCCATGAATTTTTAAGGTTTTTTTTTTTATGTAAGTAATACAACAATTTAATCCAAAGAAAGCGATTAAAATACGTTTTAAGTTAAATTAGGAAATATAAGCGAATACAGAAACATGATCATTTAACCCAATTGCCCCTAAAACATTTAAACGAATAAAATAAAAAGACATTTTTAGCTTAGTTCGGGATTTTCATTTCAAACTGTGTATACAGCAGTCTCCGTTTATGCACATAAACAAGTATAAAATGCACCACTTATATAACATACATTAATTTTATATTAATCAAAAATCGTTACACATATACATTTGGTAAAGGAACAATTAAATATTTCAAAAGAAAATCCATTCTTATTATGCATTTTATTAACTATAAATGCATATGAAAATGCACTTCAGTTATTTTAAAGGAAACTCTGCATTTGTTCTTCAAAAATACAATATTATAATGATATGGTAACGTAAATGGTATCTTATGAACACTAATATTTAATATTTCACAAAAATTATAAGTTGATCCAAGCACATTTTATGTGACATCGAAGAAATTATTCTTCGTATATACTTATTTTTAAAATATAAGGAGCGGGAATTTAAAAATGGATTCCTAATTAGTAAGGAAAAATATATTTGGATACTTCAGAAATAAAGTATATATCATGCAAAAATGTATACTACAGTCGTCTAAAGGTGCATACTCAGTTAGAAAACAATTTGCTTCGCTGGAAATAAAGTTTGTCTTATTGTTTGATATTCGTAGTTGTCCAAAATGGCTGAAAGTTGACTTTAGAACTTTTTATCTGAATTTTCTCATTTATTTGTCCTGTTATGTTATTTTCATTTACTTATCCTAGTTTACGTAATTTAAAATTTCTTACAACTGGAAAATTATTGAGCTTGAATAACTAAAAGTTCAATATAATTTATTCTAATAATGTGTCATTTTAGAAACTAACAGGTCTGAAGGAAAGTATTTTCACAAGAAAAAAGTTATCTCTTCAAGTTAAAACTTTTATTGAAAAACTTTAAAATTTTAACTATAAACATTAAAATTTTATCGCTAACGAAACTCGGTCTAATTCCTGAACTCTGATAATTTCTTCTTAAAAATGCATCAGTACCACCGGTTCTGAATTCACTAATATTGAGCACCATTTGTAGAAGATAAAAAGAACATTCCATGTTATCAAACGCCATTCCTCCTAGTGATATTTTCGTGAAAAGTACATATTTAACAAATTTTTTCGTTTAACACTTTTGCAACATTTGCCAAATTTAAGAGTTCTGATAGAAATCTCAGTTTTGAAAATAAAATGTTTAAAAAAAGAGGGAAAGAAGCATGCATTTCTATTGGCCAAAACGTCCTCTCCGTTTTCTGTATAATGGAACACATGGTATAAGAAAAATCTTGCTGCTAATAGTGATTAAATTTATTAATCAGTCAAAGTTTGATGAAAATATGCATGTAAGACTTTCATTTCGTCCTTTTGCGTTTGTTTTCCTGCAATGCTAAGTATTGAAATTGTTCGATATATTTTTTCGACTTTTGAAAGGAGTACGCACTTTTAGTTATAGCTGAAGTAACATCAACTATTCTAAATTCTGATTACACTGTTTATTTCCAAATAGCAAGTACTTTATGTTGTTAATTAAATACTTTTAGTTTGAACACAGGTATGAAAACATTCTTTGGAACATAATATTTTCACCTTCATGCAAAGTTTAATGCTGATCGTTTTATAACAATTAACCCCCTTATGGTTGATCTTTACAATATGGTAACTGGTAGTTTGGCGACATTTTGAAGGCGATAAAGGTTACTACCTGGCACTTTGGTAATAATGTGAGCAGTACTCAGTTCCGATTACGCATTATTTTGTGTGAGGGAAATGAGAGATCATGGGATATGTCATGTGATATTAATGGACGAATTACGGTTCTTTTAATCGGAAAAGGGGGTAAATCGGGAAAAAATCTGGAAATTTTTATTGCGTTTAGCATTTTGCCTATTTAGCTTCATAGTGTGTTGTGTGAAACAGTGTTCGATTGAATTTTTGGATCCCATGGCCCGTAACTAAAGTGAATTCGAAATGGGTATTTATGTATGTATTAATTTAATGTATGTGCTCATTTATATTTTAAGTAGTTGTTTTTGAATTTAATTATATTTTAATTAAATGATAGTTATTTTGTGAATTTTATGTTTGTAGGAATTTGGTATACGTTTAAGTTGAAGTAAACGTGCATGGAAATAATTTAAATATTTGATACTAAGTATTTGTAATGCTTGCAGTATGAATTCGTTGGTGACGTGTATAATGTAATAGATGATTTAGAGGTAAAAGTTTTTGGATATTTTATTTATTTTATATGTGGAAATGTTCATATTTGGAAAGGGTAAATACTTTTTCGCGATCAGGTAATTTCATATATGTTCTTTTTACCGGGTTTAAAGACTGAGAAAATTGTCATGTATTTTCGTGAAATTTTTCTAATTTATGAGAAAAAAGCAGTGTACATGGATATAGTGAAGAATGTGCGCAATGCGATTTTTGTGCAATTCTGGGATGTTTTTTTAAGTAAAAGTAAGTCGACGTGTACATGGTTTAGTGATATTTTAATTAAATGATAGTTATTTTGTGAATTTTATGTTTGTAGGAATTTGGTACACGTTTAAGTTGAAGTAAACGTGCATGGAAATAATTTAAATATTTGATACTAAGTATTTGTAATGCTTGCGGCATGAATTCGTTGGTGACGTGTATAATATAATAGATGATTTAGAGGTAAAAGTTTTTGGATATTTTATTTATTTTATATGTGGAAATGTTCATATTTGGAAAGGGTAAATACTTTTTCGCGATCAGGTAATTTCATATATGTTCTTTTTACCGGGTTTAAAGATTGAGAAAATTGTCATGTATTTTCGTGAAATTTTTCTAATTTATGAGAAAAAAAAGCAGTGTACATGGATATAGTGAAGAGTGTGCGCAATGCCATTTTTGTGCAATTCTGGGATGTTTTTTTTTTAAGTAAAAATAAGTCGGCGTGTACATGGTTTATGTGTATGTGTTATTTTGAAAAACGCGTAAGGAGTATGGTATTGTGCACTTTTTCCCAATTTTTGCAGTGAATATTTGTCATGATTAAGCAGTTTTGTTAGATAAAATTTCTAGTATAAGTGTAATTCGGCTAGTAGATTGTTGGAAGAAGTGTTCAGTAGATAAAAAGAAAAGAAACATGTTTTTACTTCGGGAAGACAAAATGGCGGCGGAGAAAAAAAATAGAGGGTTGCTGTTGGAGAGTTGGTCGCCAAATTTTCGCCAAGTTACCATAATGTAAAGATCAACCAACCTTATTTAGTTACTTAAAAATTTCCTCTGTATTTTTAATAATATTTCGTAGCAAATTATATATCCATTGAATTAATACTTTAGAGTTACTTAAATTTGTATTAGCAGAAAACATGATTTCAGGAGACGCGCGTGTTGTAGGAAAAAAATTATCTAGATCATTATTTTATTTTGTGAAGCTATAAAAACGTATCTTTAAAAAAGTTAACAAAAAGTAGATTAAAAGCGGGCAAAATTAATATCTCGTAGCATACTATTGAACTCTTTCAAATTATATATCCATTAAACTAATATTTTAAAGTTACTTAAATTTGTATTATTAGCAGAAAACGTGATTTAAGGAAACACGCGTCTTATAGGAAAAAATTTATCTAGATCATTATTTTATTTTGTGCAGCTATAAAAACGTATCTTTAAAAAAGTTAAAATAAAATAGCTTAAAAGCCGGCAAAATTACATGTTTAATATTTACGTTTCAGCACCGTATTTGAAGAAATGTTTTTAAAATTTGTATTCCATTCATCCAGTGTTATTAAGATATGCTAAATAAAAGGAAATTAAATCATTTCGAATAAACTATTATATATCTAGTTCATCGATATTATGTTATTATTATATTTCTTATTATTATATATTCATTATTATTATATTTCATTATTATTATATTTCATTATTATTATATTTCATTATTAGTATTACGTATATATATTTCAGGGAACGGTACTTTTGAAGGAAAAAAAAAACATCAAAAATAGATATGTTGAATAGATCAAAACTTTTGCTTCTGTTTCCATTTTAAGTGTCATTAAGTAAATATAGAATACCTAAATTATTTTTATCACTTGAAGTAATGACTTAAGGGAATGGTAAAACAGCAACCGTCAGATTTGATTCGCTTATCACATTTTGGATGCCATCATGTTCAAAGCAAGTATAAAAATAAAATAATATCTAAATGTTCGAACTCGTAGTTTAAAAGATAGTTTATGCGAAGTTAAATTTTTTCTGTATATTTTCGACTTGAACAATGCATTGAAGTTCATTAAGCATTTATTGAAGTTCTTGGAAAATTAGAAGCATGATTTACTAACAATATATGATGCATTA